GAAAGCCTTTCCGCTTCAAAGAGATGGTACGATATAATATGTTCAGTGTGGTTTGAGACGTCGCTGCAATATTCCCCATTAGCAGCTACAGTCGACCTGAGTTACAGCACACAATTTTTTTTTTCGATTTTTATGGGTTTTTTGCAGCAATGCAATGCGAAAAACGCATACTGACGAGAGATTGTCTGTGTGTCCGTGTGTGCGTCTGTCACGGTTTTCATCTCAAGACCTACAAAAGCTACGGGGCTGAAAGTTTGCGAACTCAACCTACATGTACTTACGGACCCCAATCCCCAAAATGGGCGGTCTTACCCGCGTGGTACCCACGCAGCGGCCCGTGAAAGTTCTTCGCGAGTAAGTCATTAATTCGCGAACCAGAAAAGCTAGAAGGCCGAAATTTTAAGCGGATGTTCCCCCTCAAAGTAGGTAATAATGAGCTGAAATCCAGCCCACGGGTAAGTGTGGTACCCACATACGGGCCCGCCAAATTTTTTTTTCGGGTAATTTAATAACTCGGGGATCTGAGAAGCTAGAAAGCTGAAATCTTAGAGGGATGTTCCCCGTCCAGGCGGGTATTAACGAGCTCAAACCCTGCCCGCGGGTAAGCGTGTTATCTACCTACGGGTCCGTGAAGGTTTCTTTCGGGTAAGTTGCTAACTCGGGAACTTGAGAAGCTAGAAGAATGAAATTTTGAAGGAATGTTTCTTGACAGTTCTGGCGGCCAGTCTGAAATTCTTTTAGTTAGAAACATCTGCTGGAAAACCCAGTGCCAATATCGACAAAAATCTGCGGACAAAAATCTGCAAAAAACGCACCTTCGCACGGGCAGCCGGTGCGTTGGCCAATTATTTTAGATGAGAGGAGTTGGGGAAAAAGTTACCTTCATCCGAGCGCTGAGCTTTACCTTTACAAAAAACATTCTACTTCGCTTTTTTCCTAGTTTATACATTGAAACACACACAATCAGTCAGCTGCCGTCTTCAAATATGCTTTGAAACTATCAAACTTACTCAGTATGTAATTCCTTTCTTCAGACTTCAAATTTTTACAAATATAATCAGTGGTAGAGAATGACAGTTCAAACACTTCCTCCGGCTGCAAACCCAGGGCGTGAGCTACTCGCACATATTCATCGGTAAGATTCGAGCACATCATTGCCGGGTCATCGGTCTGCAAATAAGGTAATTTCATCACACGCAATAATCAGAGAACAACCTATCAACTTATGGTTTTTCTGCAGCTGTCAACTTGTCTGTACTGCTTAGTTAATGTTGCAGCACTTGACAGCCTGCTGGCGATCCTGACGTTCGTTCTAAATCTTGAAAGACTCGGCAATCCTTTCAACAAAAGTGCTTAGCTGAATTCACTACGAGTGCAGAATTTCCTTTACTTAAAAGAAAAATCGAAAGAATGTAAATAGTTCCTTAAACTTTATTCCACGCGTGTTTCAGAACTGAATTTAAAAACTTAGAGACATCGTCATGAAAATTTTAGTCTCCGAGGTTGATCGGTCCGCCAAAAATGTCCGACATGTCCATACTTATGATGCGAGCGTACGCGAAAGCTGGATTTTTCGCACAAGAACAAAGAAGACTAACATAAAAGTTCAATTTCCTATGCTGTCTGGTAATCGAAATCGTTTCCCGCTAAAACTTTTTTGTTTTCGTTTTAGACGTCCAAAGTAAGAGAAGCATGAATGTGAGCTGATTTTGCGTCTGTGGGGTTACACGTGGACCGAATACATCCCCATGTTGATTTCCTAGCTTCTTCACTGCAGGAGTTGAAAGCAGCTGGCAAAAACCGAACAAATGCACACACACACACACACAAACACACACACACACACATATACATACCTACACCGGTAATCTCTCGCCGATATGCATTTTTGCATTTCATCAGTGATTTAAAGGAGCATAATGAATTCTTAGGGTGAAAATAAATGACACCAATAGTTTCAAACGAAAATGCTGATTCATTATAATCGGCTATCTAACCTAAATAACTTTTCTTTGAGAAAATTTTCCCACGCTGCGTCGTTAAATTCTAAATGCTAATTTGCCACTTTATCCGAATCACCCTCTATACTTTTCTGTCGTATATGTTACGTACAATTCTTTGCACCTCTGGCACCAGAAGCGAGAACAAGAGAATTCCCATCTTTTCAGTGCAGTTCCAGCCATCATAATAGTGATGTTACTACAAGCATCAATTTCGGTCATGATTTTGCTTTCCCAGCTTTTTTCATATTACTTTTTATTAAAAGTTTTTGCTGTGCAGCGCTACAGCAAGCAAAAACGCATAGTCAAGAGGTCGTCTATGTGTGCATGTATTCGGAAATGAGTGAACTTTGTCATTCACTTTCAACTCAGCAACCAGGAAAGCTGGGAGGCTGAAATTTTGCGGACATATTCCCACCCCGTATGTCAACTTCC